ATAACAAACATAACGCAGTTTCTAGGCGGGGCTGTTATTCTGCGTAAGCGTAGAAGAAATATTCTCATAATAATTAATTGTATACTTTTTTTTTGTGCGTATGGTTTCAGACCAAAAAAAAAGACCGCAGAAAATCTCTATGAAGGATAACAGTATGTAATCATCGACGGTGGGCGTATTCAAATTGGCAATTAATCGTGATCGCAAAACATTCTATACGGTTAATAGGCTCGATCATTGTTCGGATCTATAGTAATCAAAATCAAAGTCACTGACCCGAATTGATTGATTTTTTTTTCTTACGCCTGTTACAGAGTACAATTATTATAATAGGGATTTTTTTTGGAGCCTACAAATGAACTTTGTGTTTTTGTGAATTATTTTCCTAGTGGGAAGCATTTCACTGCGTCTCAATTTTTTAAATTTTTATAAAGTTGACGAGTAGAACCAAAAATCAATATTGGTTTTTGGACACTAGGAATTTGATTATGGCACTATTTTTGAATGGACTGGAATGAATAATTTGCCACAGGACCTTCGGTGGACCGGTAAACATGGCCAACCAAAACCTAAAAAGAATATTGATAATGGTAATTTAAGTTTCTATGTGCCACTTATAGAATAACAGAAAGATCAGAAGAAGGTACTGTATTTACATTATGGGTTTACCTCAGTGCCGATAAAACAATCCTATAAGAAATTTACCTGAAACAATAGGTTCGCCAGCGACGGGAGACTTTTCAAGTAATACATGTCAATGGCGGCCAGTCGCTTATGCGGCATATGAAAAATATTCACAAATGACCGCCGGCTCTCACGCTTTCAAATTGGTAATGTTCAACAAATAAGCTGTGGCAGTGTCAGGTAACGCCGAAAATAAGAAACATTATTGAAACGTTTGTTGCTCTCTAAATAAAATTTTAGGTTATGCGTCATTATCAAATGCCTAAAAGCATAAAATAGTTAAATTTTAAAAATACCGCTCTCACATATGCAAACACATAAATTAGTCTTCGTTACATTTCCTGTGTGGTCTCATTACGTGAACTGTTAACAGTTCATATAGACGAGAACGCAGCGGGGGGTAAATGTTGAGAATGCGGATGCATCTTACGCCTATATATCCCGGTATAGAGAAAATTCTTTACCCGGCAACTTTTTTGACGTTAATGTATGTAATGCATCCATCCATTGCATCCAGCCGGCAACACCGATGTCGGATGTCGGCGCAATTGATCTGGTTATCGATTCTGTGTTTAATCATTGACAGATGCGTGATAATAAATAATATCGTATTCCCTATGTTCTAGGCATATCCTCCGTGGAATAATGGAAAATAATTTTTTACCAAGCAAATTCTTAAATTACACCCCGAAGATACGTCCGCGTCGTAAAACGCAATTTTCTTTGCATCATCGTGACCAACAAATCACTGGTAGACCCTATTTGTCATTTTAGATCCGGTCCTATAATGACTGACCATTCCCTGAGCGTTTTGTGTTGATACTTTATGGCATGACTGCCTGAGTTTTGTCAGCTCGCAATTATGGTGCCCATATTTCTCTTATGGCAAAATAGACTTAAGATTTTTTTTTACATGAAATACCTACACGCCTTTGGATTTCGTTCTCAGAGGAAGAATCATTTTGGAAGGATTTGCCGCTAGAAGTACAAAATAGCAAAAGCAAGGCCCGAGCCTATAAGGTATAAAAGGTACTTTTCCGCACTAGTGCTTTTCCGTACTTTTCCGCACTGAGTGCGAAAAATTAGAATACCTGAATTTTTTTAGGTATACAGGTACTTACAGGTAAACATGTATACTACAGGTATAGGTACGAAAAAGTGAAAGAAAAATATAACTTGAATTGATAAATATGTAGGTGAAAATATGACCTTTCATCTCATAGAAATAATAGTGTTCCTAACTCGTGCGGAAAGTCTCTTTTCCGCACTAGTTAGGAAATATATTATTTCTGCCACTGTATACTTTCCAAACGCTTTCCCTTCAGGAAGGTATCTCTTTCCACCCTAGACCGGAAAGTAATGGAACCCATTTGAAACCCCTGGTAAAAATTCGCAAATAAGTGAGACTATTCTTCCAATATTAATTGACCTTTATTCCAATACACAATAACTCCGCTCACTCCGTTCAACTACAATCAAGTTTATTAACTAGTCACAAAACTAAATCACAACCCATTGTCTCACTATCGACTCGCGTTCTACTAATCAGATTATTAACTTATTCGCATTTAATACCACTGTCACTTTGACACGCTAACGTCGAATTTTTCATTGACTTTTTTCCCTTGTTGGCCAAGAATTGTCTAGATAATTCGCATCTGTTTTCTAGCCATCGGGCAGTGTCGCAAGATTGTGCACAATTTCCCCATATTGAGAGATCTATGACACTACTGCCTTCTTCTGAACATATTGTCCAGATAGCATATCCTAATCGCATCCAAATCGGAGTATTCTCGCCTCTGTATGGGGTTAGCCTGTCTACGTGGACAACCTTTAGCTTTACAATTTCTGAAAAAAAAAAAAATGAATCAATAAACAAAAAATATAAGTACATATACCTAAGCCATTATTTATCTATCTTTTTTGAAAACTGCAATAAACTTACTTACGAAGGAGAGTAAAATAAAATGGACATTGCTATCAGGTATTCTCCATAGAGCGTATTTACACACTATACTACAGCTTACTACCTATTGTTCATTATTTATCTATACACAATATAGAGTTTATTAATTGCAAAACAATATCAGAGTTAATTCAGCTCGCAGTCAGATCTGTCGGCCGCACTTAAATTATTAATTCCAGTTGGGAGATGGTAGATGAAACAACTAAACTCTATGCTTTGCTATTTATTAGTCTGGTGCGTCTGTATGTGAAGCGAACACCTGGGTTTGCCTAACAACGAACCCTGCTGGGATTAGAGTAGATTCTAATAAGGTACAGGAAGTGTTCGTGTCCGGTAATCAAATATATCATTGGCATTTTTATCTTTTTGATACATTCTCATATTGCAGAGGAAGTAATACTATTTCCATCTGAACATTTATCTTATCAGAAACATGTGAAGCGAAAAATATATTGAACCAACTAAATCAATTAATTAACAAACATAAAATGCACCATCTAAGAATTAATTAATTATCTCGATTTAAACCGAAACGTTCAATATAAATCCAGGCTTATCTATGAAGGAAGTTAAATAGGACAGCAAAATGAGGCAGTTACTCAGCCAATGCATTGAACCATGGTGAATAATTAATATAAACTTTTCTGACTCAAAGATTTATAATAAATAAATCTTAAAGCCGTTCCAAAGTCGATTTGTCGTCGATTGTGTATGCATTCCGTGAATTAGCAGCAGTTGATGAAATCTAATGTTAAGCCAAGCCTAAAATATTATTACTAAGAAATCATTAATGTTTGAAATTCCATAGTTGACTGCTGGTATAGGTGCGGTGGTATAGGTACCTACCAAAAAATAAAAACTGTCAGTTGAAAAACGGAAACTTTTTCTTCATTTGACTTTGCTTTATCGTATTCATGAGAAAGATAAAAAGCAAAGTGCCATCAAAAGCGGATTTGGTCTGGATAATCCACTAGTTGCACGTTGCACATAACTCGTTGTGCAACGTGAATTAAAATGAAAAATCCTGTTATCACAAAAGAAAAACTAAATTTAAATTCAGGAAATCTCTGAGGAAAATAATAGGGTTTTACTAGGTATATTTTTCGGGAATTTTAAGTAGGTACCTACCTACTTATTAAGTTTATATTTGCACCAAATTCTGTCACAGCAGATTGTTTTAACAATACCTACAATTATTGAAAATAATCACTGCAGTTGTACCTACCAAGGTAAAAACCGTTTCAGTAAGATTTTTGCACATCGAATCGATACCTAACTAAGCAATTTATACCCCACGGTTTTTTAAGCAGATTCTCAAAACGATATGGGGAAGCACTTACAAGTAATTATATAGTACAAGTATTACAGAGATGCTAATCTGGCGCGAACTTATATTATTCTCTGCGCTGTCCCCTATCGGCTTTAAATAATTTCTTGGAAGCTTGCACGCACCACAGCGCAGAAAAATATCGCCACTCAATCTAGATTTGCGCCTCGCGAAATATTAAACCGCGCGTGTGATGGAAATGCTGGTATTCCGAGATAATGTAGGTGATAATGCTGTTTTCTATTCCTCCCTTAACTTATCCCACCAAGAAATAAATTGTTATACATAATTTGTTTCGCTAAAGTTTTTTAGGTAGATCAAGAATTATTTTGACGAAATTGTTGTTTTTCAATCTCGGAATTATTTTCAGGGGGAAACTATGTTAACAATGTATCAATAGTTGAAAAATGCCATTTCATCATCAGTTTCACCGAAGTACTTCTAAATTTTTTTGAATTGAATATGTTTGAGCATAATTGCAGAATATATGATGGGCTATTGTAGTTCTGGCGAGATTTCCCTAACCTTATAGTTTGGTGGGAAGTCTTTGCTGAGTGAGTGATTGATTGAACATGCTTTATTGTCTAAAAACTAATACATGCATGTATAAAATTCTTTCTCGATAATAAACCATATGCCTGGCTTCTGAGGAACGATTAGGATATTTCTACCAGAGAACAACTATTCTTTCCACGAAATGATAGCCCATGTAAGTGTGAATTGGTTATGGTTCGAAGGCGAACCCTGACATTCACATCCTTTTGCACCCAGTATTTTGTTTCGATATTGATCTTAATTTGCACGAGCAATCAGTGGGGTATTTTTTTCAAATTATGAATTTTTTTCTCGTCTAAATAAGTACGATAATTTCTTCTCCGACAAAAAAGAACATCAAAATAAAACTTTGGAAGTAGTTTGTTTCGACTTCACAACTGTGGTAATTCTAAACCAAGCCAACTAAAATGATTCCTATTTATTTCAACTATTTACATTTTTATATAAATGATAAAACTTTTGTTTCAGGATAACTGCATTATGAAATTGACTGAAACAAACAAATCTACACAAAAATAACGGTAAGTCAAAAAAGTTTGTAAACTAATCATTTTCATATCAATGACCGCCACAACATAATTATATCACACCAACGTGTATGTCAAACCTAAATAAATTAGGAAAGCAATTAGCTAAATTGGGGATTCGCTTTGTTTTGCCGAATGATTTTCAATAATTAAATACAGCAAGGGATAACGTGCGTTGATACATAACCAGATTTTTGAAAACTGAAAAAAAAATGTTTCCCACCAAAAAAAAACTCCTAACATGCAAACTAATTTCACAGTAGATTACGAAAATATTTCAATAAACAAACTATTATTTAAACATTTTGTAACGGTAAATAACAACTTAAAAAAAAAAAACATGAAGCTTATTATAGTCAAGGTAATATCATTTTTAGTTGCCTTGAAATTTGAATACCTAGACATGGAAAGTTATCAGTACCTAGCTGACAGAATGTGGTTCATTAAAAATAGAATGTAATAATAGGTATAAGTAAGGATTGTATTATAAAAATATGATCGCTGTCTATTCTGTTTGACCCTACAATGCCAACTAGTCTGATCAAATGGTGTTCAAAAGTGCCGGTTCCGTAACATGAATGCGGTAGAAGGTTTTTAAACGGAAATATATGTTTTTTGGGATGCTGAATGCGAATCTGAAGTTTGCTGCCTCGTAGCAGTACCGGATCAGGTCGAAAAACGCGGGAAACCTTGAAATTTTCGGACTTTTTCCGATTTTCTGGTAATATCTTGCAAAGGACGGATCGTACGAAAACTATCCCGGTATTCAAAGTTGAAAAGCATAAAATTCTGCGTCGAATAACTGCCCTAACCTTATTACTGCTAAATTTATAAGCTCGCCATCATCAGTCGAAGGAAGCCAATTTCGATCAACTTTTTTGAAAACTGCAATAAACTTACTTACGAAGGAGAGTAAAATAAAATGGACATTGCTATCAGGTATTCTCCATAGAGCGTATTTACACACTATACTACAGCTTACTACCTATTGTTCTTCAGCTGACTATATGGTCTTTCTATGATTTTTCCTACAATATAGGTATATATTATGTATATTGTATATATTCTCTCATCTTGTTAATCTAAATGTAATAAATGAGTAAATATTATTTTGTGTAATTGGGTATTGAAGCTGCGAGGTCTCAGGACCGCATATTTTTCTCTGGTGGAGTCACACATTACTTATGGAATTGCATTTTGGGGCTGTTGTTGCAGTACTGCAAATTTCAACTCCATATTTATTTCACAAAGAAGAACCTTCAGGTTAGAGTTCCCTTTCGACAATCTTGCAAACCTAGATTTTTTTCCCATAGAATTTCGACTGTGCCATGCTTATATACTCGAAAGTGTTTGCCTGGTCTATAGGAAATACTATGACCAACTTTCTTCGGCAAGACACTATTCAACTAAGCAAGCTAATAATATTCCACTGACAATTCTCAAAAGCAGATGCCATGACCTCCCGCTGTGTCTTCGATAAATTTTTCCAAATAGATTTAAGCGGCTCAACAGAACTGGGTGTAGAGGCTGGTATACACATCTACACAGACGGGTCAAAGAATCTTTCTGGGGCTGGGTCAGGTGTGTATATACCTGAACTCAACTTGAAAGTTAGTACGGCATTGGGAACAGATGCGATTATCTTCCAAGCAGAGCTGCTTCAAATAATGCATGGGGCGGTACAAGTTCTAGAGAAAGAGATAACAGTTAAAACAATTCGTTTTGTCACAGACAGCGAGCAAGTTTTGCAAGCCATAAACAGGAACAAAATATCGTCCAAAATAATCCTTTAGTGCTACAAGACTCTAGAGAAAGTCTTCTTAAGAGACAGGGCCACAGTGTCCTGGATTAAAGGTCATAATGGTATCCCAGGAAATGAAAAAGCAGAAAGTCTGACGCGTGAGAGGGCTAAAGGGAAACCAATCGGTTCGGAACCTTTCGAACCACTGTGAAGTAAAACTGTTAATAACACACAAAGAGGGTTTTTGTAGAGAGGTTGGAGAGGCACAGCTTCTGACACCCGAGTGTCGCAATACGCGGCCCTGAGGATGCTCTGACGGAATACCTTCTCGAACTCTCTCGAAGCAATCTAAGAAAACTGATAGGAACGCTTACCAGGCACTGACAGCTAAACAAACACCTCCACACATTGGGTCTTGTGGCTGACCCAATCTGAAGAGGGTGTAATGAGGAAGACGAGACCGGTGAACACGTACTATTCTACTGCCCAGCTCTCGCAAATACTAGAGAATCCATTATAGGGGACCAGTGGCCATCAAGTGTGCGGCACAATCTTATCGAAAATTATAATAGTTGGGAAAATTGAAAGTTACAAAAGCAAAATAATAATTTTTATACGCACATTAAAAATGAATATTATTATTCCATTTTTTGAAAATTTGCAGCTATTTCTGAATAATTTAATTCAACCTCATTAAATTGGAAATTTCATCCTATTTATTTTATCAAATTCAGCGGAGCCGAACCGTCAGCCGAAAGCGAAAGCAGTTACCCCATATTTTAAAATACTACGTAGGTATTTGACAGTTGTTATTTAGTTTTAGATTGTAGATTGAAGATTGTGAGAGGAGTCATTTCGGCTTTCCAGCCGCTCAGCACAGCTACCTTTGCAGATATTTTGTACGTGACTCTACATCTCAAATTGTCTCCAGGAAGCGTAGACTTCTGCCGAAGGAAGCTATTTTTCTGGGTGTCAGTTGGCCCACTTCTTCTGGTGACAGTGTTTCCCCCTGAAGGAATTTGAGCCTCTTGAAAATTTTAGCTTGATATTCGCAGAGCAGGTGCTTTGCGGTCTCTATCGCGTCTGAGCAGAACCCGCAGTGATCGTCTTCTGCTCTGCTTATTAACCTTAGGTAAGTGGTTTTTCACCAGGAAGTGTCCTGTGAGCAGTTCGACGACCATTCTGATATCTGGTCTGCTCTTCTTTAGGAGTAATTGTCCTTCCATGATGTGACTTTTCACTAAGCCACAATAGGGCTCTGGTCCATGGTATGGTGTTAAGGCCCCTTTTTTTGCGAGGCCATCTGCTTCTTCGTTTCCTTCTATGCCTCGATGACCAGGCTGCCACATCAACATCAGGTTGTGAACGCTAGTGTTTTTAAGGTCTGTTCATACTCCCAGACTAGTTTAGAGGTGCATTTGAAAATCTTTAAGGCTTTTAAGGCAGCTTGGCTATCTGATAGTATAAACATGTGTTTTCCTTTGAGGCTTTGGTTGAGACATTCCTATGCACATATGTTTACGCCAAACAGCTCGGCTTGAAATATTGTTGACATTTGCCCAATGCCTTGGAGAGCTTAAAGTTAGGGCCGGAATATTATTACTGTGAATGGGATCTCTAAGACCATCATGTGTTCTCTTGGTTTGCTGGCATTCTCCAGTTTTATTATTTCAAAGATGTGCAGTATCCCCTCAGATGACCAGGCTTGAACTTGTCTGTTTGGAATAGCCTGTGAGCGCTGATTATTGCCTCCTTTTTCACACATAGGTGAAGTGGAGGCATGTTAAGCAGCGTCTCTAGGGCTGCGGTGGGGCAGGTCGACATTGCTCTCATTATTCCTAGGCATATCAGCCTTTGTACCTTGTTCAGCTTGACCCGAGCGGTGACTTTCTGAGTTTTAGGCCACCATACCAATGAGGCGTATGTGACCATGGGCACTATTATAGTTTGGTCTAGCATCCAGAATACCATCTTTGGCTTTAGCCCCCATGTTTTACCAACCAGTTTGCGGCATGACCAGATGGCTGATATAGCTCTAGAACATGACGTTTTCTCTAACTGTTTGTTCCAAGTGAGTGTTTGGGCCAGGGTGACCCCTAAGTATTTCACTTCGTTGGAAAATGTTAGTTGTGTACCGTTAAGGGTGAGGGCTTTCAAATTTAGCTTCCTTCTTCTCGTGAACAGGACAAGAATTGTTTTGCTTGGGTTTAGGGCTAATTCCTCGCCTTCGCTCCAATTTTTAAGCGATGTTTGCATTCGGCTTGTTATTACGCTTTCATGGCAGAGGCACCCTTGAAAATAATGGAAAAGTCATCTGCATAGCCTTTGACCTGGAATCCAGCACAACTCGTTCTGGTAAGGATTTTGTCCACCACTAGTGTCCATAGTAGTGGAGAAAGAACACCCCCTTGAAGACACCCTCTGATCGTGGTAGCGGTAGTTGATGCTCCCTTTATTTAAGGCGTAACGTAACGGTGTTTTAGCCTTGACTCTATCCATTTCACAATTGGGACTTCAACATTCCATTCATTCTCTAACGATTGATTGATGTGAGTTGTTGTCGAAGGCACCCTCTATGACAATGGATGCTGTGAGAACGATCTCTTTGCACTCGATTGTCCTTCCAATGTCTTTAACCAGGCAGTGTAAAGCACTTGTTGTGGATTTGCCTGACTGATAGGCAAATTGCTTTGAGAAGAGCGGTCTTCTCAATAGAGTTTCGCTTCTGATGTACTAGTCAATTGCTTTCTCCATTGTTTTGAGGAGAGAGGAGTTTAGGCTAATGAGACGGTATGATCTTGCTTCGTCCTCAGGTCGACAACCAGTTTTTGGTATGAATATAACATGCGCTTCCCTCCAAGATAGCGGTATTTGTCCTAGGACTAGGCTTGCTTTGAAAAGTTTTTGTAAGTGTACCTTTAAGTACTCGTAGTCTTTTTGCAGTTGTGCGGGAAAGCTCCCGGAGATTTGTAGGGTCTGAAGCTATCCCCTCGCAGAATTGCCCTGATGAATGAATGATCTCCTTTTTGATTTTCACAATTCACGGTTGTACTTGTCCAGGGCTGTTCTGTAATCAGCCCAGTTACCGTTAGCGTTTGCCTGGTTGAATAATTTTCTGGCATCTTGTTTCAGACGTCTCAGCTGCCAGTTCCACCCAAGCACATCTCTGTGGAGTGCCTTCTGTTTGACAGGACAACTGTTCTCATAGGAATCTTTTATCGCGTTTATTAGATTGTTAGATGATGCCTCTAGC